AAAATATAAATTTTAATTATACAAGATTGAAAATATTAAAAAAAAAAATTATAAATAAATTTTTAATTAGAATTGAATTCTCGAAGATCTAAAATATTATTTTATAGACATAGGCTATTTTAAGAATATATCATTGGCGCGAGAAGTGCGTACAATTTCTCACTTTATTAAGAATGCACATATTATTTAATCAATTATACAGACTGGTAAACGGATTATTTAATATTTTCAATCGGTTCTTATTAAAATAATTCTAATGAATAATTATTATGGTAGTATTTTAGAGAGAATGATGTTAAAAAAATAGCCAATCATTTATAGATTAACCCATATTAAAAATTGGTGAATTTTAATTTAATTCAAAATAGTCAAAATGACAATATTTTTTAAGATATTTTTTAAGAATAATTTATTGCCATTGTAAGCGTACCATAATCGTGTAGTTCGCAATCTATTGCTGACGATGCTTATGTAACCCGAATATTTTCTTTATACCTTTATTTATTTCATTTTATTTTTATTTACACGCTTAGGTCAAACATATTACAATATAATATATATATCAATTTACATATTTCTACTTACAGAAAACTAAAATCTATATTAAATCCAATACAAAGGATTATAGATATTCTAACATTACAATACATGTATTATTATTAATTAAGTTAGAATCGTCTAGAAAAAGGATGAATTATCTACAAGAAAATAAGTGTTTCTTACAGAGTCCTTAGTTAAATTGAAATCAAGTATGTTCTTGAATTTGTTACACAGGTTCAACATTCTACTGACAGTTCGTTTTTCCCATAATTAATGGGAATAATAAAGTTCTATGAAACGGAACTACAAAAAACTCAGGAGAACGAGACCTAATATTAGAATTGATGGCGATCTTATTGAAAATATCGGGAGAGATAAAATCAGATTTCATAAGTTGAAAAATGAATATCCGGCGTCCGCGGCGTCATGTCTTTCACTTAAAGTGGATAAGTCAATCAATTTGAGCCTGTGCTCATAAGGAGGAAGAAAAATAGGATCCTCCCAAGGAAGGTGACGAAGCGCAAATCGCAAAAAAATCTTCTGAACCGACTCAATTACCTTTTTACAATATTCAAATATGAATATTGTAAAAAGGTGACCAAACTTGTTAGGCGTACTCAAGATTGGGACGAACCAGAGAGAAATATAGGGACTTTAAATTGTAGTGTTCCTTAAACTCCCTTGACCAGCGCTTAATAAATCCCAACATAGAGCTTGCATTGTGGTGATTGGCGAATAATAGCGTATTATAATGTATATGAATGATAGCTTAAATTATTACAAAATCTTACAATTGTAATATTGTTATTTAAAATAAAAATGTATACCTTATGATATTATGGGTTTAAAGTGTCGTCGTAATTAAATCTTTTTTATTATTTATTAATTTTCCAATTAAAATATTCCATAAGATTCTTTATAATATGTAAGAGTATTTATTCCTTCATATTTAGAATTATTATTTTTAATTATATGTATTTAATTCGTATTGATATATAGTTATAAATACATAGACATACATGACGTTTACATGAATAAAAAGAATATTAATTTTTTGCAATTAAATTCTCAAGTTATTTTCAAATAAAATATAAAATAAAAGTTGCCTTTACTACTAGTTTTAATAAAACCTTCAAAACGCTTTAATGGACTACAAGAGTGAATAGAAGTGCATATATTGAATAAAATTAAAAAAAAAAAGGAAAAGGGAAAACTTTATAATAAAAGAGATGAGTTTTTTCCTATTGTTTTAATAAAAAGAAAATCAATCTGTTTCATATAAAAGAAGATTATGGCATCATAAGTGCAAGTCGGATTAAATTTACATAATAAAAGAAAGTTTGTGTTTTTCTTGAATAAGATTATTAAAAATTAATAAAGCTCACAAATGAAAAACTTTTCCGATATGAAGAGCATTTTTTTATTATTTTATAAAATTTAATTTAATCAATTGCTTCAAATCAATTGTTTAGGGTTTTTAAGTTTTATCATTAAAATTTTTTACATAAGTTACAAAAGTGATCATTATTTAGTGAAAAGTATAATTTTTCAGATTAAAAATTGTGAAATTTAAAAAAAAATGTTTAATACTTAATCAATTACTGAAAAAATTTTGGGTACATTTAAATTAAATAATAATAATTTTCTGAAATAATTTAAAAAAAAAATTTAACAGGCTAGAACAAACGAAACCACACATATAAGATATATTACGAGTATATACATATGTATATATGAAGTGCAGAATATACTGAGATAATGTTAAAATTTTGAAAAGGAGTATATATTTTATAATATCCAACACAAATCGACGCAAACTATACTCGTAATCACGAGAACCATACTTTATATCTAATTTTGACATAAATTTATTTCCTAGCGCTTTTTAATTTGAATAAAATTGAAAACAGTTTCATAAATATACTGTTTTGGAATTAGTTTTACTTTTAAGCGGTTATCTTGTTAGAATAAAAATAAATTTCTGAATGGGCTACAATAATTTCTTATATATTTTTTAGTCAAATTCAAAATGTTTATTATTTAATTTGTTTCTTATTTGTCAATTTGAATGCCGATAAACTAGTGTATATCAAAACATTTGTTATTCAACTACATTTTATTTTGGGAAACGAGAAAGGGCTATCGTCAAAGGAGTTATTATACCTTTATTACAACATTCACATATCAAATTTGATTATAAACAAAGTTGCTATAATATAAAATTCCTTTTAGATTTATTTTATCCGCATAATTGAAATAGTTTTAGCGCGCTTTACTATAAGAGGGGTTAAAATATGTACTTATGTTGCATAAAGATAAAAATTGTTTCCACTTTGAGCACAAATGTTATGAGCTATTTCATTTACAAAGCATAAATATGGTCTTCAAAATGGTTTGTGACCACTTTAGGTATTTTTTCTTGGAATTATACTTAAAAATTAATCATCCTTTAATTATTTACAAAAATTCAGAACACAAACATTAACGAATTTTTTTTGCAAAAAATTTTTAATTTTTTCAATTAGTTATCGTTTATTTAAAATAATTTTTTGGGCCGTACGATGGTTAGTCGTAAATTTTACGATTTTAGGAGAAATGACTCAAACCGAAATGTATAGCTAAATTTTATATAAGAGAAATTAAAACTGGAAATGTGGGTTTTTTAATAAATAAATAAAGTTGGGTCAAACCAATGGTTTGTTTTGTAGCACTTTTCCCTTCAACAAGTGAAAATTATTCTTTTAAATGCAGTGTATGTTTAACTATCACAGTATTAAAATTATTTTCATTCATATACAACACCACTTTTAGGATTGCATATATTTAGGATGAACGATTTATGCAGTCTTTGAAATAAAGCAAAAATTAATATAAAGACGGGTTAACATAATGCTCGATTTTAAGGTTTAATTGTGTGAGTTAAGAAAAATAATTATAATTTTTAATGTCATGTCAATTTAAAAAAGCTTGCGGTTTCACAAATATAAAGCGTGAAAAATTCAAATTTTACAAATTTTAAGTGGCGATAACTTGAGAGGGGGTGGAGATGGAAAAAAATTTTCTTCTAACGAAATGAACAATTTGTTAATGTCTAAAAGCCTCTCAAATTTCAAGCTTCTAAGGCCGGGGGCTGGAAGAAAAACGACATCAAAAATGTGGAAAAAAAGGACTTTAGATAACCGTAAATTTGAACGGCCATTTTGTTTTTCTAAAGTCTATCTATAGTATACTGCGCTAGAGGAAGCAAGCCGGTGCCTTTCCACGTTTGCAAAATTTCAAAAATGCTTATGGCTTCATTGAAACAAATATTTAAAAAAGGCCATTTTTAGGAATTTTGGGCTGTATAACTTCTAGAGGGGGGAGATAGGTAAAAATTTTGTTCTACGGAAATAAGTTTCTCGTAAAGATCTATGTACGTATTAAATTTCAGCTTTCTATCTTCAAAAGTTTTGTAAACAAAAAAGTGTCCACGGAGGGATGGACGGGCGGACAGACAGAGTGAAACTAATAAGCACTTTTTTTCAAAAATTTTTTGGAAATGTGCTAAAAACATGTGACGTTTATATTGAATTCTTGTATTTCGAGGTGACTCCACGCGATGGATTACTGAATTATATTTCTAATTATATTGCGTTGAAATAATGTCAACCATAAATTAAACGAAAAAAATAGAGTTGACCATGTCAACTCTTTGATACCCGTACGAATTTGTTATCCTATGTGCAAATAAAGATGCCATAACTGACTATGGGACAGACTATGACTTTAAGTTGCCGTATTACCATATTAATTTATGCAAAATTTCAGTAGAAAATCCTGTGTGTGCCAAACTACTATTGAAGTTGTATGGCAGCTACCAGATCATGTCCAATTTAAATAGGGTTCTGACACTTACTACAATAAATTCATTTGTTAAAATTTGGTGAACTTAGCTCTATTGGTTTTTGAGTTATCGTTGGGACGAACGGACGCACGGACGGACAGACAATGCTAAATCAACTCAGAATTCGACGCTGATCAAAAAACATACACTTGAGTCTCTATCTAGGACCGTTATTTCTTAGTGTTACAAACGGTAAAGCAAAAGTAGTATACCCATCGAACATACGTTCGTACGGGTATAAAAATATTGTAAAGAATCGATCCGATAAGTAAAGTGTGGACTTGCTATAGTTTTCCATATTATAAAAATAAGAAACACTTTGCGTTTAAAGTTTTTCATGTGTAGTCACATAGTATTAAACAAATTATTTGTATTATGTTAATTGAAAATGATATTTTTAAAATTTTTAGAGATTAATTGGAATATTGACATGATTGATTTTCAAATATTATAAAACATCATTAGATAAATTAAATATTTTTTTTAAACATTATTTTACTGCATACCTTTAAATTTATATCAAGCGCAAAATAATAACCTAACTGAGTTAAAAAATAAGATAGTTTTCATTCACATAATGGATAAAGTAATTTTTGTTAATTTTTTTGAACAACTTCTCTGATTGTGAGCAAAATTAAACTTTTGTTTACCAATTGAAAATTTTTATTTGTAAATTTTCGCCAATAGAAACTTTATTTGCAGAAGTTAGAGTTTATTTTTTAAATTATACAAACATTTTTGAACATTTTGAAGAAAATATTCGACCGATTTACTTGAAATTTTATATATAAGCTCAACTCGACCGTCCGCAAAAATTCGTATGTTTTGGAAGAAATCAGGCATCGGCAACTAGACATTTACTACGGGCCAAATATACATTTTTGTGCATATAAAGAGAAATAATCAACCGATTTCATTGAAATTTAATATATGAATTCCTCATATTAAAGCAATGAACATATAACTTTTTTGGAAAGATCAGGGCTCGAGAACTGATTTGCGGGTCGATTTTACAGTTTTCACCATATCCACAGAACAAATTAATGGAATTTCTTGAAATTTGATATTTGAGTTCTGGTTGTTACCGAAACTAACTGGCGAGCATTTCAGGGAATTCGGGTAGCACAAAGCGAAACTCTACTAAGAGCCAAATTTACATTTTTCTAAGTATGTTAACTATAAGCTTACTAATGTCCTAAAAATTGGAAAGAAGTATTTAACAGACATTTTTATAATATTCTGTAACACTTTTATTTAACTAGACAATACACAATGCGGTCGGTTATGTGCTGACCACATCAGATTTTTTTTATATGGAATTAGAAAGTATAAATATATAACCCAATAAACCTGTCATGGCCCTAACTATATGAATAACTGCTTAGTATCATGCGAGAATTTAATTCTTAGATATTATGATATTTGGATCTGTGAATAAATTTAAATTTTAGGTATTGTAATCTTTTAAATTCGAATATAAAATAGTATTTGTGTGTATATATAGCACATATAAGTGTTACTGGTTAAATAGTTTGTGGTTTATAGTAAATAACATTAAATATAATTTAAACCACTCAGTCAAAGAGAACTTTAATAGCTCCTTTAAAAAGTTACTACAGATGGTGTAATTTTTTTTAATAAGATAAATTTATATCAAAAGTTGAATGTTAGTTATTGAATACAATGTGGACGATGAAATCAGTATGTTCTTACATTAAACGCGTTCGTGAGATTAGCAAGTAAAATATTGTCTCTAAGTATTTGAAATAAATTATGTTTTTTTTTTATTCAATACATTATTGAATATTGGAACATAAAAGCTATGTATATATTGATAGTTCCAAGTTAATTTACACCTCCAGAACGTAAATTTGGTTTTTAGTAGACTTATTTTCGGTCTATTCAATTAAAAAGTTCAATTGTTCTGAATAAATTGCTAGTTAACCTGATTGTCAAATTAAATATATACACATAACTATTATTTATTAAATTTCAAGGAACTTCGTCGATTATTTCCGTATGTGTACATAATATGTGCATTTAAATATGTAGCACTCGATTATAGTGATTTATGGTTTTTGGAACGAGATGTTCCGAAAAATATTTTTAATTAACTATTTTAACACCCGACGTTGAAATATAAAATTCAATGACAATCTGTTGGTTATTTTGTTAAAAATTTAAAACAAAAAAATTGGGTCGTATAATAAAAATTTAGAGACGTGGCATACTCGTAAAGGCAATCAATCGAAAGTTTAGTCAAACTGAAATACACCGACAAATAGACAAGCAGACGTGTAGACGAACAGAACGTCAGTAATAAAATTTCAACTTAATAAGAAAGTATTCTTTTTGTTGAAAATTAAATCAAATTAATATAGTGTTTAATCTTAAGAATTGTGTCCATTAAATCCGCAATCCCCTTTCTGGATGATTTTTGATTATTTTTTTGAAATAAAATGTAAAACAGATTGCAAATGTTTTGACTTTAAAAAAATCATGGAAAAATTTCGAGTCATAAAAAAACTAAACTTCAATTGTATTTAGGTTTTTTTAAATTTAAAGTGTTAATTAAAATATTTAATTATCAGTAAGAAATTGAATAAAATCTTTAATTAAATGGACGTTCCAAAATCAATAATTAAATATTTACTTTTCTTACATTTTGTAAATTTATTAAAATTGCAAATTTTTCAATTAAATTGCATGTTTTATGATGTGAAAATTAATCAACTCAAGAAAAATAATTTCTGCTTTCTATATATATAATAAGATATTTAATTATATGTGATATTATAAGTAAATTTTTATTGAATAAGTTAACATTGTTATTAATTAATAAGTTGGAAAGCTTTACAATTAATTGAATTGTACTTATTGAACAAAATTGTGAAGCATCCAATTGAAAATTATTGCAAATTTTATTTGAGAAATTGGAAAAATTGAATTAACAGTAGTGTAATTTTATTATATATGGACTACAGGTCAATAGGAGTGTGTTATGAAAATTATAAAAATGAATTTTAAAAATTTAAATTATAAGAAAATTGCTATTATATGTGGAGTTGCTTTTGCATATGGAATTATTTTCGGATTTTTTATAATACCACAGGTTATAAATTTATTGATACGATTTGTAAGTATTTTGATGAATATAATTTAAAAGAAAAGAATTTATACCTACATACGAAGGGAAAAACTGAATTTTATATTTGAATAATTATTTTTTCAATACTTAATGTCAAAATTATGTTTTATAAATTTTGGTTTATTAACATATATTTAGCAAACACGTTTGAAACCTGGCAATGAGGCTCGCGATATTTATAATGCAATACCATTTCCACTACATTTTCATATTTATGTATTTAATATTACAAATCCAGAAGAGTTTTCAAATGGTGGTAAACCTAAACTTCAGGAAATTGGACCATATTATTTTGAGTAAGTTTTACATGTATGTTGTTCATTATTTTATTAGAAATGCATATTTCATTTAATTGTCATCAAAGATGAACAAATTGGGAAAATTTTATTTGGAATTTGCAACGCTGAAAATAACAGTGTGTGATTCATATATGTAGATTATATAGGCAACTTCGCTTGAATAGGGTAGTAGCTATGGACCTGTATCCAATTGAATTCGCGGTTTTCGTTCGAAAAGAAAATAAAATTAATCAATTTTATTTTAGCAAAAATAGGACATTCCCTAATTAGTTTTGAAGTCCTCTTTAAGATATTGCTGATTGTCTCCTCCAATATGCTGATTGCCTCCTCCAATGTCCTCATCATAATTTGTTAAATAAGTCCTGCGTGTAAGACCCTTTTTTGTTTTATATTTAGGCAAGAATGCTTTCAAAATTTTACAATCATGAAACGACATTTCCAAAGAATATACCAAGAAAACTAAGAAAATATTAGTTCATATTATAGTTCTCACAATTACTCAAAAACGGGACTGAGGTATATTTACAAAATTTTTAAAAAATTTCTTTGTTGTCGCCGTTAAAAATTTTTAGTTATTTTGAGGTCGAAACAATAATTTTGAAAACAACCATATAGGAAATCAAAATTATTGAAATTATTATATAATTAAATAAATATATACATTATGTAGTTACGAGTATTAAAGTTTTATTAAAGGTATAGTAGTTTAATTTAAGAAATTTCTATCAGTTCAAATTTTTATCAGTTCAGTAATTTGCTTATCCTTTCTAATTTCACCACGATTTTCTCATACATTTATTGTTGCTTTTTAACAAAATTTCATTTTTAGTGAATGGAAAGATAAAATTAATCAAGAAGATGATGAAGTGGAAGACACTATTACATTTGATATGAGGAATACATGGATATTCAGGCCGGATTTGTCAAATGGATTGACGGGGGAAGAAATGATTACAATGGCACATCCTTTAGTAGAAGTATAAATAATGTCTTTTTTAATGTCTTATTTATTGCATTCTTGTATTTATAAGTAATAGTAAAAACAATCCTATAAAAAATTATTACAATAAAAAATTTTAAATACATTATTGCTCCTGAAAACATGCTACTATTTCTTATTAGTTTTATTGCATATCTTCATGTAATTTGTTAATAAAATGTTCAAAATATTTTACTAACGCTTCTAATTTAAGATGATTGCTCTTTATGTGAAAAAAACAAGGCCTCCAATGATAGCTTTAGTGGCTGAAGGTTTGAAAGAATTATTTTACGACAACTTCAATGCAACTTATACTGGAAAATTTATGGATTTATTTTTTCGTGGTATTCCAATTGACTGTGCTACTGATAGTTTTAATGCAAAAGCAATTTGTAGTGCTTTACATGGTGGTGTTGCTAAAAATATTGTGCCATATGATAAAACTACATTTCTATTTTCATTCTTATCATTTGTAAGTTAATTTTAACACTTTTTAATACTTTATAATTGTATTGTATTAAGTTAAAATGTTCTTTTCATTATAATGATGCCAACATTATAATATTTTTATGATTTTGTTCAGTTAAATCATTCAAGTGCTGGCCGGTTTACTGTTTGTCGCGGTATAAAAAATATTCATAAATTGGGAAAAGTTATTAAATTTAATGATGAAACAGAATTTGATGCATGGGATGGAGAGCATTGTAATAGATTTCACGGTACTGATACAACAGTATTTCCACCATTTATGACACCAGAACAAGGTGTGTGGGGTGTAACACCAGATTTGTGTCGTTCTCTTGGTGCTGTTTATAAAGGAAAATCTAAATATGCGGGTTTACCAGCATCAAGATATACATTAGATTTGGGAGATGTAAAGGTATGTTTGTATATCGAAATAACGTATTTCATAGTAATTAATAAAAAATGTTTTTTAATATCATGAAAATTTGACAGGATGTTATTTTTATTTTTAATATAAAATTTATTCTAGAATGAACCAGAAAATCATTGCTTTTGTGAGGAACCACCTGATATATGCCCACTTAAAGGTACAATGAATTTGGCACCATGCCTCGAAAATGCTCCATTAATAGCATCCATGCCACACTTTTTAAATGGAGATGACCATCTTTTCGAGAATGTAGAAGGACTTTCTCCAAAGGATGAAAAACATTTAAATATTGTTGATTTGGAAAGGGTATTTGCTATATAATTGTTGAACTTGCAAAAATAATAAAAGATTTATTAAATTTATAAAGGTATCTGGAATGCCATTTAAAGCAGTAAAACGAATTCAGTTTAATTTAGATCAAGAACCAGTTAAAGAAGTAGAACCATTAGCAAATGTAAGAAAAATGGTGATGCCGTTATTTTGGGTTGAGGAAGGAGTTGCAGTTAATAAAACTTATGTGAATATGGTTCGTCCAATTTTTATGTGAGGAAGAAATTTTATGTGACCATTTTTTATTTATACTTTGAATTTAATTTTTAAAATTTTGTTTTAGTGGTAAAACTTTTAACCAAGTTACTAGGTGGTTATCAATTATAATTGGATCATTGGGATGCGCTGGTGCTTTATATATGCATACTCAAATAAATTCAGGATCTGTCAAAATAACGAATACTACAGTAACACAAAATGATAAGAATAATGTTAGCAAAAACACAGTATCACCGGCATTAACTGAAAAAACTGATAATCATGTCAGCAGCAATAGTGAAAAAAATAATACAAAAAATGAAAATAATCATCTTAATGCAAATTTGAGTTTCGATACTGAAGATGGCAATCAACGATATTAAAACTAAATATGTAGTGTATAAAATTTTAATTGTATATGTGTAAATTTATGATATCATAGCTTAGTAGTATAAGCTTGACATAGAAATTTTATTGTTCTCAGTATTGGAATACAAAAGGACAACAAACTTATGTAAACTTCATTCATATTTTCTATAACTTTCATAAATGAATTGACTCGAAATTGACCTTGTCTTATTCACGCTTATGATTTCTTATGATTAACAAATTTTCTTAATTAAAAAACATAAAATGCAGATAATTATTGTTGTACACTTGCTTCAAGTAAACATGTACGTAAGTCATTAAATTTTATAATAAGATAATAATAAATGAAATTTAATTTAGTGCAATAATATATTTAAGTTATATATAGATGGTGAAGTGCAAATATATGCTAAGTAATAAATTTTTCAAAACGTGGTTTTTTACGCCACAACAATATAGAAGAAATCAGAAATAATTTACTGCAGATCTTTTGTAAAAATGAATGTGTAATAAGTCTTATAATCCAAATTATTATAATAAATCGCATATCATAAATTTAGACTTATGAACACATAAACTTTAAATTTAACTGCATTGCATTATTTATTTAAGCAATTTTATTCATTTTTAATTTTATTAATTAATTTTCTCGAAGCACAGACCAGAGTGGTAAAAAGCAAAATATTACTATTCCTATTTAATAAAATTTTATTTGTTACTTTAAAATTTTATCCTTCGTTAATAATTTTTCAATCCATTTTTTCGGTAATTCTCTAAAAATATTCGATGTTAATGAACAATAAAGATTATTTTAAATGTATAAATGCTATAAACTACAAAATATTCGATTATTCGCTTATATTTATGAAAAAACTAATAAATTAGTAGAATAATATTACCAGAAAAAAAAATATGTAAAAACATAATTACAATGTAATTTATTTCAATGTTTAATAAGATCAAAATATGATTATAATAATGAGAAAAAAATAATATTCGGGGTTAAATTTGTAATTAACGTAAGTGCACAATTTAATCAGTACATTCTTTGTTTTATGTTAATTATTTTATTCAAATAAAATAAAAAAAATAAAATATCAAATTTTCTAAACTGTTTTATTTATTTTTTATTAAAATGAGAAATTTTTGTTTAGAAAGTTTTAAGTTGAATTGAAAACATTTCGGAACACTATAAAATTTATTTAAATTATTTTTATAATTTACACTGTTCTTTTAATTTGTAAGGACTTACCGCCATTATAATAGTTTCCAAACATGATATGTACATAAAAAAAATTGTTTTCCAATCATCATCAAAACTATTAATTTGCTACATCGAACAAGAAAACTTTATGCTATTGTAAAATTGTTGTGATAGAAAATTTTTTTAATTTTATGCATAACAGAATTGCATACATTTGGGAGAAGTATTAAAAACATTCAACAATGTTATTATTCAAAAGAATTTATTAATCTATTGATTATTCGTGCTGTGCTTTAAATTTTAAGTTCGAATTTAAAAAATCTACTGCATGTAGAAGTTCTACTGCATGTATATACATACATATGTATATGTATAAGTATATACGTCTTAAATATTCATAAAAATAAATAATAAACTTTGTTAAAATATTTAAGTAATTATTAATGGGAAACTTAAAAAATTATTGGGAATTTTTTTTTAATAATATAGATGTGTAAATGTATGTGTATGTGTTCCGTTATACGTGTTCATTACTGGATACAAGTTAAATAATTGATGTTTAACATTTTCTATATTATTATAATAAAACTTAAAACATAATATTGAATTAATTGTATACACACACATAAAATATTTCGTGTATTTAAAGTGCGTAAAATTATACGTTTATAATATTTTTTTTTTTTTCAATTATTGTATAATATTATAAAATGAAAACCTATCATCAATGATTAAGTTAAAAAAAAAATGTGCATACAATATTCTTACTCCTCCTCTTATTTCCCATAAATACTTCCTTAGTAATTGCTTAAAGTATCAAGTTTATATTGTAGGTCAATGCAAAAAAAAAAAAAAAAAAAACAATTGTGTGTATTAATTCTTGTGAAAGAAAGCATAGCTGCACCTGTTGAAAAGGAAATATAATATAAAACTTTTATACCCAATGTCATGACTATTTAATAATTTTGTTTTCCGTTCAAAATAAGTTAGAATTAAAATTTATGTTTGTATATATTCCATCTTAAATTTTTATTCGGTTTTCATATTTTTCTTTATGCTATAGTAGAAGCAAAAAAAGACATCCTTAAAAATGCAATCAATTTGACTTGTTCTCATGTCAACTTGACTTGTTCAGCAATACGACTCTAATAGCTATAATATAATCTAGTTTAAATTTAGGTAAACGCCTTAAGTTTTTAAATAAGTAACTTTATATTTAGAGTTTTTTACATTTTAAAATTCAAAAATTTATACAGTAAGTTAGAATGTTTTGTTCTCCATTCTTGACGAAATAAAATCTAGCATAAAAAGTTAAAATGATTGAATACAAAAATTATGCATGAGAAATGAAGAAGAATGAACTGAAAATTTTATTCTATGCGATTGAATATTAAAAATCAAATTGGACACATTTAAATAAAACTAGAACTGGCTAGTACGCTTTCATAAGTTGTTTTCGATTTTTTTTTGGGTACATTAGGTTTGCATGTCATATTTTTAATTATACGCAGTAATCATGAGTATTTTTCAAAGTTCATAATATTTTCGTAAATGTAAGCGCTTTAAGCTTAAAACGAACAAAAGCTTAAATTACTTTTGAAAGCAAAGCAGAATTTCCTCAGCCAAATTTAGTATTTAGGAAAATTTTGTTTAATTCTGGAAATTTTAAATTAATCAAATTTAATATTTGCAAAAATATCCCTTAAAAGTTGAAGTCGAAATTATATTTTGTTAAGATTAAAAACTTATTAATAAATATTTTCTAGGCTAAGCAAAAGTGAAATTGCTAAATTAAAATATCAATTTGAATTTTACAAACCTCGTTTTAGTTTAAATTCTTTAAAATTTTTAAAAAAACTTTGACTTTAAATTGTTAATCTTGCTTTTCCTGAAATTACTGCCTCTTAAATTTACTGGTTTACATTAGAATCAGATTTGGCAAAATGATCACATAATCTTATGAACTTAATCCCAACTCGAACTTGTTTTATTGAGTTTTAATCGTGTTTTCAACTTGTTTAACTACGATCCAAACTGAAGCAAACAAACAGTGTGGACCATCGATTTCAAATGATGATTCATAGCTCCGGCATTTTTATTATTTGATATTATACTACAATATTTATAAAAAAGCAGTTAAAACTTTGTGCAACAGTTTTATATATGTATGTAGATTAAAATCTTGTTAGGCAGACAGTCAAATTTATTTTTTAAACTCTGTGAATGCAGAATATTTTTAATGTTAACCAAAAGTATATGGCGGGCTATTATAATATTTAAAATTAATAATTAGAAGGAAAATAATAAAATTTATTATTGTACATATTATATAATGAGTAGAAGATACTTTTTCATATATTAAATCTATTTAAATCGACGTTTAGATTGAAAAAGATTTAGTTGATTTTGAAATATCACGGAGTGTACGTGAAATAAATATAGTGTTAATACCGAAATAAGTGGATTTTATATATGGAATTTTGTAATTTCAAAATATTATTAGTGGGTGTTCTAAATGAAATATTAAGAAGAGTGTATGAAATGTAAAAAAAATTGTTTTTAAAATTAATTAAGAATTTCTGTTTTGTTTTTTTTATAAATAATTTTAGGATTTAGATTTCAAGTTAAAAGTAATAGTTTTCGGTGTTTAATTAAGAAATATAATTTAGTACTAAGTTAACTGACATCGTGAAAGTGGCACTCTTACATATTTTGAGTAAATTAATAGTGGCAATACAAAAACTTTAAACTTAAGTATAAACTGTTGTAAATTGTTACAAAGATTTGAACAATTAGGCATTCGAAAGATTAAAATTTTTCTTATAATCGTAATATTCTTTTTCAATTTTGATTAATTTAATCTGTTGATTTTTAGAGGGAGACTGTGCAACAATCTGCTATACAATAAGTTTAAAAATTCTGCAAACAATGAAAAAAAGATTGATCTTATTACAAAGTATAGTTTAATTGTAACCAGTAGTTTTCCAGAAATTAAAAGATTAATTACTTCGGAGTCACAAATCCAAAATAAGAACTTTATTTTGCAATGCAAACTTTTTTTTCATTTTATTTTAAGCTTAATTAATAATCTAACTTAAACATTACTTTCATGGAATTTCATTTATGTTAAAATAAATTAGTGAATGCCAATTTTATCAATAGTTAGAAACTACCAAGCATAATTTCAGGCAGTTATTAAATTCAGTAAATTCGGATCCAATCAGAAAATTCTTTACATATTATTTAAAAATAAGAAAATTCTTATTAATTAATTTAGTTTGTGTTCGATTGAAACGAAAACTGCAGCAATTTATTACATTTACTTAAAATTTATTGTTAAAAATTTTAGTTATACATAACGTAGTATAAAAGTAGTCTGAAATATTGGTATCTTTATAGAGTTTCATCTGTGCTGATATATTCTGTTAAAAGTTTACTAATGTATGTATATCTCAATTAGTTTTGAGAACCTGGCCAACATAAACTGAATAATGAACCAAAAATAAAAAAATTAAAAACTCCATGAGCCGCAAGAAAATTTATGAAGCAATTTGGGTATACAGTTGGATAATATTCTCGATGCCATGTAATAGAATATGTCCAGACGAATGTTCGAAGTTACTTTCATTTTCTGTTTCTTCTTCTCTTATAATTGATCCACGACGAATTTTCTAAATTTGGATATTTTCAAATAAATAGAAGAAAACTTTACACGTATATAAAATTTACATAAGATTCTATTTTATCATCTCATTCAAAAAAGATGCTTTTCAGTTCAACCTAATCTTCAAATAACTCAGCATAGTTATCAAGGTCTCAATTGAGGAGAATAAGTCAAGTTACAAGTTATTACGTTGAATATTTCTTATTTGTTTGTATGTGAAGAAGTTCAATAATTTTTCAAAATTGAAGAATAAGGTTAACTCCTTAATGGCAAATTGGTTTCTGTGCCAGAAAAGAATTAATTTCAGTAAGAATAAAAATAAAAAAAAACCATTTACTTTTTTAGTCGTATTGGGTATGCTAAGTTTCAAATATATTTAAATTTTTTTCAAAAACATTGTTAATTTTATTCACAGCTTCAAATTTTAAAATAAGTTAATAAATCAGATACATATACGATTGTAACATTTCTAGTTAACTGCAACAGGGTTATTTTTATGAGTATAGTTTAAAGAAAGCCAGAGAAAGTAACAAAAAAATTTTTTTTCGAAAGAAAAGGGCTAGAATAATCTATTTGCACTAAGAATGAACTTCACATAATCCGATTTTTATAATACGCCCGGTTTCAGGAACATGAGTGCCTTGTTATACGCTATATACGAATGAATTCTGGGGTATACGAATATTGGGTGTAACATCGGATAAAATAAAGAAAATATGTTTTATAAAACTATATTTTCTCCTTTGTTATACATATAACTACACATTTTAACTTTACAATACATAAGAACAAATTCCATTGTATTTTACTTTTATTATATATATGCGTATAAAGTTTCAAAAATTTTGGTTGCTCTAGAGTCTAGAACATTTTTTTAATGAATAACACTCGAAAACTAAAATTTTTGTTCTTTATAATGCGAGCAAATTTATTTGATTGGTTTTGGGAAATTTTTTTATAATATTCTGTATTGTCATTAACCTTAACTTTAGCACAATTTTCAAGAACACTCGATAAATAAAAAAATAATTTAGAAAATAATTATAAGATATTTACGAGGGTAGCAAAGAAATTGGTTTCATTTTATAAGATTCAAGAGAATTTTTGAGTGTAATTATTATTATCTTTCATCATCGTAATTTTTTTATTGAATGAAAATTTATTAATGAATAAATTATTAATGAAAGAATAATGATATTATTGGAATATTGTTAATATTTTCCATCCTTGATTCTGATAATTATATGTAATCACGTAGCCGTGTGTCGAAATCAAATAAGTGGAGAATATGAATACAAGTTCCTTTCGAAAACTTGTGAAGGAAAAAGAGAAGAAAAAGATGAAACAAAGTGTGCTTATGAGTTATAAAAATGTTAAACATGAAAAATAAAAGTTTTTCAAATTTTTTAAATGTTAAATAATGAAAATACTTAGGGGTAAATTTTTCGATTAGCAGCCAATATAATTGTGCTTTATTTAATAAAATATCAATAACAATTTTAGTTAAGATTTGAAAATAAATCTGAAATCAAATAGTCTATTTTTGGTCAAGTATGTATATAGCTGACATTTGCTTCATCGGCTAATATTATTTCTCAAATTTGAAAAATTTCCGATTTCAATAACAAAAATTGAATTCAAAAATTGATTTGAAACAGAATTCTTTGACTTCAATACAATTAAATCTTAAAAATCATTTTAAAGTTATGTTTTTGCGTGGACCATATTTTTAAAGATACAAAAGTTCCACGAAAAAAGGTTTCAATTAACAAAATTTCGGTGAAAAAGTCATATTGTATAGCCTTTAAAGCATTTTATTTAAAGATCCTACTTATTCCTAAAATTTCAACAAATCAATGCCAACAAGTTACGGAGTTTTCGCAAAATCTTGGTATTCATGATAATAAAATAACTGTTTTACCCGTTGGCCAAGATATAGTAAAATATACAATTCCATCGATCCATTCTGTGGTAAGATGCCATTCTGTCTTAATAGTGTTTTTTGCTTTATTATTTGTATATTTTTTGGGAAAAATATCAACAGCCAAAAATTTTTAATCTCCATTAAGAAACGGTACATTTTAATAAAAAGTGATTAAACATTTAGCGCACTATGACAAGTCATAATTTTTTATTGCACAAAAGTTTAAAAAATGGTACAAGTACAATGAAAATGGTATGCTTGGCAGAACTGACTAAACAGCAGCACACTTATTTTCGCACTGAACAAAGTTCCATGAAAACGAGAGGAGTTTACTCGTCATGACATTTCGGAGTGACATTGAATTATAAATTTTATTTTTTATGTTTTACATTATTTGCAAATATCATAGTACACTACACACTTGAACTTCTAATGGGTCACTGAACACAAAAACAATTTGAGTTCTTAGAATGCTTGGCAAGTGTTTTCATCATTATTTTTTTGAGAGAAGCAAATTTTCACAGCTATACATTCGTCATGACCCAGAGGTTGACTCTATTATATCGAGTAATTGGTAAACTAATGCATTTTTATTACTGATAAATTGAATTTTGATAAAGTATTACTAAAATTTTGAAGTCAGAAATTGTAATTAACATTTTCAGTAAATTTTTATGTAGAAATGTTATTCCGCTACACTCAAATCCACATTATATAATGTTGAACATGTAGGAGAGGATATGAATATGGATATGCAAACTCTTGAATTCTTTCAGATTATTAATTAGATATGAAAAGCAACTTTGAATCTATATTTTTGATTATAATAAAATTCAAGTTTTATATGATATTTTTTGTTATATAAAATGTTGGTTTTACCGTAAGTGTTCTTATATGTTTAGATTATGTTGCGTGTACATTTTTTAGTTTTCATCAGTTAAAGTGATCTTATAGACTCTAATTGAAATTGATTAGAAAATTAGAATTGATTATTATATTTATTAAAAAATTAGATATTTATCTCATCGGTAACATGCCACAATATGATAAAGAATCAAGAACATTTTTGAAGGAAAATAATTTCTAAATGTAGTTTTTAATTTTTGTATTGGAAATTTATTAAGTTAGGAATATGTAGCTGTTTAAAAGAATAGAGCTACAATTTTGTATTTTTTATTAATAAAAATTGATTTTTGTATTTTTTAATTACAGTTTTAGTTATTTAAAACAAAAAAAAATTTCTTAAATTATAAAAGAGTATATGATTTAGTGAATAATAAAAATTGAAAATGAATGAAATAGTTGAACAAATAACAAATTTAAAAATAAATTTTAAGAAATTAGCGATATTTTTCTTAATTTTATTAATATTTGGAATTTTGGTAAATTGGCTTGCTTTTCCATTTTTTCTGAAAAGAGCAATACAAAATGTAAGAATAATATTATTTTCAAAATATATAAATTTACTAGAATTTAGTAATAAAATATTATTATTTTTATAGAAAGTCGTTTTAACACCGAAATCAGAAACAAGAAAACTTTGGGAAAAAGTTCCGTTTCCAGTCGATTTTAAAGTTTATGTTTTTAATATAACAAATCCAGATGAAGTAACAAATGGTGGTAGACCGCATGTACAAGAAGTTGGACCTTTCTTTTTCGAGTAAATATAAAACTTGATACTAGATTATAAACTTATTGTATAAAATATTTGCATAGTACTTTATATGTTTGTATATATATTGGAAAAGAATTGTAAAATGAGCATTAAATGTGCAGAAATTCCTTTTTTTTTAACTCAAAATATTCAGCTTCTTATTCTTTTCATTAAGTTTTACTTATATAGCTTTTGAAATTCAAGAAATTAATTGAAAAATATTTTGAAAAAGAAGTTCTGAAGTAACTAGTGAGGGTGTACAATTTTTTAAAAAAGGTTATTAACTTAAAAATGGGTCAAAATTGCAAAAAGTAAAGCCCTTCCCATTGAAACAAAAAGGATTTTAGTCTAATTAAAAAAAAAATCATAAATTAATTCAGTGAAACAATAGGCAATCGAGTAATTGAACACTTGATTGTGTGCAACACTTTGTACTTAGGAAAAAATATTAATAAATTTTTTCCTCCGTACCAACTTGTACATTTTAACCGTTGCATATTTTTAGAATTAAAAATTGCAATTATTACTTGAAGTAGTTAATTCTAGTAAATATTTGGTGTTATTAAAAAAAATGTTAATTTTTATTCTGAAATACAAATCGAAAATTTTAAAATATTTTAATTGATATAAAAAAATTTTCCAAATGAGAATGCTATGTCAAAGCCAAATATAAAAGTCAATTATTTTAGTAAGCTTTGTTAAAATGAAATGAAATTCTTAAATTTATTTTATGTATTTAAGAAAATAATTTGAATTTATTGAAAAAAATGAAATATTAATATTAAAAGAAAAGAAACTTGTTCTATTTTGCCTTTAGAATATCCGTAGAACAAAACTGATTAAGTTTCGAACTTGTTTCTTTGTAGCGAATGGAAAGAGAAATATGATCTAGAAGATGATGAAGAAAAAGATACTGTTACATATCATATGAGAAACACTTTCATTTTTCGGCCTGATAAATCATGTCCGTTAACAGGGAAAGAAGTAATAACAATTCCACATCCTCTAGTAATGGTAAATAGCAGACCAACTCAATTCAATCTTAAATTTTTGTTTGCATCGTATTTTCTTTTCGCAAATCGAATAGCCATTGTCAGTTGCTGTTAAACGTGATCAAGCACCAATGATGCCATTAGTTTCTGAAGCTATAAATACAATGTTTCCAGTTGAAAAGCCATTTTATACAGCACCATTTATGGATCTTTTTTTTAATGGTATACCTGTTGACTGTAGCTCTGAAGTTTTTGCAGTAAAGGCAGTATGTACACAATTTGCAACTGGTGAAGTAAAAGGCGGCGTTAAATATAATGAAACACATTATGTTTTCTCGTTAATGGGTGGAGTAAGTATGACAAGATTTTAATATTTAATTATTTTTTAATTGGTACGTATACATATGTATGTATTTATGTGTATAGCAAAATTAAATTTAGAATAATTTTTATATTTAAATTTTACGTAAATAAGTGAAGCTCGAGAATTTTTCAATAACATAAAATTTTGTTCGAAAATGTTATTTCATTAGCATAAATATTATACGTACTCCACGTAGTCAACTGAAGTCTACATTTATTAATTCTTTCGCTAAATTATTTTCAAAAAAAAAATATGTTGAATTTTCTGTTTAGATCTTCAGAAAAATTCAACACCTCGCTCAGTGTTTGTAAGAATGAGTCACTTAAGAAAAATTTATAATTTAAATTTTTTTTTTTAATTATCCTAAAAGGCTAATGGAACAGATGCTGGAAAATTTACAGTTTATCGTGGTAAAAAGAGATCATTAGATGTTGGTCGTCTATTATTATTTGATGATGAAGAAGAATTAGTAACTTGGGGTGAAGGTGGTGAATGCAATAAATATAAAGGAACGGACTCGACAATATTTCCACCATTTTTAAAAAAAGAAGATGGTCTATGGGCATTTGCTGCAGATCTATGTATATCGCTAGGAGCTTATTATGAACGTCCCAGTTCATTTATGGGTATAAAGACGTTAAGGTATACAATAGATTTTGGTGATCTCAAAGTAAGTTAATCATTTGTGTGTTTTATATTTAAACTTTTTGTTGTTGATTTTTATTTAATTAATTTCATTTCTTTAATTAGAAATTTATTTCAAACAAACAAATTACTCATTTTTTGAAAGTAAATTGACTTTTAAACCTAAAATAGTACTCGTATTTAATATTAAATGAGCCAGCGATTTTTTAAATACATATTTTAAAAAGTATATATCAGTGATTCTTAAGTATGCGATATTGTAATAACATATTGGTGACGAGGGCGGGGATAAGCAATTTTTACACTTTAACATACAAATAATTTGAGAAATTTTTGAAGTTTCTCGTAAATTAACCTTCTTTGAAAGCAAAGTAATTTAAACAAGCAAAGTAAGTGTGACATAACATTTTTTAAAGACAAGCTATCTCCTAAATGGAGTCGTTTTTTGAAAAACGAGTTTATACATACGAAAGATAAACATATAAAACTTCTATTTATGCAATAAACCGATTTTCATAAAAATTTAAACATAAAGGAAAAGTGTCTTACACAATCTCGAATTTTCTCGAAAGTTTTATAAAACCTCTTGCTTTCTGCGTCTAGCGCCTATTTATTAGTATGTTGTACCATATAAACCCATACAATCTAAATGAGTTTTACTGAAAATGGTAGCCACAAAATTTTCAATAAATAATTTGTTTCGAAACAATACGCTGCATAATTTTTGTTATATGGCCAAATAAATTTTGAAGTTATGAATGGCAGTTACCACAAGCGCTCATATTTAACGAATATAGCTGCAATTCTACTAAATTTGTTTTTGTAAAATTTCAGTACTGTACATGTTGAAACAGTTTTTAAGATATAGCCAAATAGCTTTTAAAGTAGTACGGAGCCAGACCACCAACCAGAAGGAGCCAAGCAATTTCAACGACTTTTATCGAAGAAATTGGCTCTAGTTATGTATTTGTTTATGCGAAATTTCAATACCATAGCTTCTTCAATTTTTAAAATATAGCTTTAATAACTTTATAAGCTAGCTCAATTATTTTTTGAGTTATTATTGGGACGGACGGACGAACAGGCAAAGTAAAGGACAGACGGACAGACACGTTTGAATCGACTTAGAATTTGACGCTGATCGAAAACATACCTTCTACATGTCTATATCTCAGACCATTATATTTAACTTAGGGTATACTAAAACGTTCATTCGTTATTCCTGTACGGACATACGTTCGTACGGGTTTAAAAATCACCATTACTATTAAGAATACGAGAAAGCAATTTTCTAAATTCGGCGAATTGCTCAGTCTTATTTAATTTTAATCCTGGTTTTTAAAATGAATATAATTTTATAAAAATTGATTCAATTGTAATGTTAGATGATTTTAGCATACATAATTAGAGATACAATATATTGGAAACAGTAAGTTTTTTTGAAGTAATTGGTTGTTAGCAATTAAAAAAATTAAAATAACTAAAAAGTTAAATTAACTAAAATTATTTACAAATTTACAATCAGAAACTTTTATTTTTGTTTTGGGAAATAAATATGAATAAATAGAATATATGCATGTATTACTTTACAGTAATAAAATTTTTTGGGAACTGCTGGTAACTAAAGGAATTATGAAACATTCGTCAAATATTTCAATTGATTTCTAAGTAAATAAGTGATTTCTAAGTAAGTTTCATCTGCTTTCGATTCAATAGTTTATGTATATAAATGTTATTATTGTGTGATTTTAAATGAAAAGCTAATTTAAGAACTATTTATTTTAAAAACAGGTGATTAATGTGTAAATACCTTTTAATTATTTCAATTATTTTTTTAAATTTAGTAAAACACGTGGTTGCACTGACACAAGTTTTGTTTTTTCTTCTAATTTTAGGGAATATTTTATTAGAACGTTCGTATATATGTAGATCTGGAACTTATTTGTTTTATTAAAGTCTGAAATTCAATAAAATACGTCCAATATATAAAATTTCTAAATTGGCTATACACGTTATTTTTACTCAACGTATGTACGTTATTATTTCGGCACTAAGTTCTAATACACAGCTTATGTCGCCTCACGCTTATTTTTAAATCAAACATCCATAATATAAATTAGTTACCCATAATAAAAGGAATAATAATATGGATTGGTTAATTTAATGAAGATAGTAAAATTACATTTAATTGATTTAAAAATTTTAAATTCTACGTATTTTTTAATTTGCTTTTTACCGACTGCATTATATACAATAAATGTAGTAGTTGTAGTAGTTTTTCAAGGGAACCCAGTGGGCTGGGAGTATCCCCGGGCTACCGCAGCCATATATAATAAGTTAGGTTATGTGATGGATTAAATTTTGGATGTTTCCTTGGGACCAAACTTTTCCATAGTAGAGAAGATTAAATAAACTACTTTTAGAGAAAAGTTTGGCTGAACCGATTTTCATGAAATTTCGGGTATGACACGGATTGATCAATTTTTGGAACATACCAGACTTCGAGAAATGGATAATTGTGCAGGCCAACTTTACAGTAAAGAAAAATAATCAACCAATTTCCTTAAAATTTAATATTTAAATTCAGGGTGTTTAAGCAATAAATCTGTAAATTTTTTGAAGAGATCAGGCTTCGGAAACCCAACCGGGGCCGATTCTACATTTTTTTATCATATCTACGGAATTTCTTGAAATTTAATATTGAGTTCTTGTTGTTACCGAAACTAACTGATGAACTTTTTATGGAATTTGGTGACATAAAGCGCAATTCTACTAAAAGACAAATTTATACTTTTCTAAGTATGTTAGTTAAAAGCTTGCTTGCTTACTTAAAATTGAATGGAAGTGTGCAAAAAGGATTTTCATAATCGTCTGTAATACTTTCACTAAACTAGGAGACACACATTGCGGTCGGTTATGTGCTGGCTACATTAGATTTTTTTTTTATTATCACAAATGACATATTTGTGTAAATTTTCGATTAAGCAATTGACAAACACAAATATTCAAAACAAGGGTTGTTAAGCCTTTTTGCTTTTCTTTATGTAGTAAATACTCCAATTATATATTTCTCATAAGTTTTTGATATAGCTTTTCGGATTAGCATTTTGAAAATCAGGATAGCCTCAATAGAAAATTCGAGTTTTAAATAAAATTAAGAACATCAAAATCAAATTCAGGTCATTTTTGATTTTATTTATTATTTTAGGTATATTGACTGAAAATTTTAAAATAGAGAATCTCATGTACATATTATACATACGCATATATTACTAAATTTTCTTCCAATATTTCTATAAAGGAAATACAATATTGGGAAAATAAAAAAAAAAAAAATAATTTTTTTTGTTGTGTAAATTGAAAATGAATTCAAAATAATTTTACGTAGAGAAATGATTTTTTTTTCGCATATTGGCAGTAGTCATTGTTCTGTTTAATTTTTATTTTTAAACGCTTGCATCTTTAAAAGGTTAAGAAAAGGTTAGATGCGCAGCTACAAATTGATTTTAATGCAAAATTTAGTCCAAAAGAAATAAAATTTAAACTGTTATGAAACTATTGATTACATTCAAAATATTTAAAATGCATGTGACTAGAATATAGCAAATAATAACAATTTTTAAGAAGATATAAAAATATGACTAATAAGAGAGGGTGGACAAAGTTAAATAAAAAGAAATTTAAGATGAGAACTACAAGACAAACTATAGTAATTATATGCTTATTATAACATATTCTTAGTTTGCTAGTTGAAACAGGAATGTTTTCTTTAAATTATTTCGGCATAATGGTTGTTTTAAATGGCCTTTAATAATTTTACCCGCAAACATGGTAAACTAATCAGTCTTGCCTCAATACCGATTTTCTTCTTGACGAATTTGTTTACATTTGTATTCGGAATTCTATGTTTACCTTAATCTTGATTATACAAATTTTCTCACAAAATTAATCAACGAAAAATGTATTAATTAATTATTTAATTTAATTTGTTTTGTAACACTTTTTTTTCAAAATATGTACTGTAGGTTCATTCAAAAACAAAAATTAAAAAAAAATTAGGAAATCATTTTTATAAAATATTTAATTACCAAAAATAAAAAGAAAATAAATAGTAAATGTCAAGTTGAATTAACATTGAACTGGCGTTAATTGTTGTAGTATGCGGTAATCAAAAATTAAACTCAAAATACTTTACATACATACATATATAGGTATATTTATAAAATTTAAATATAATTAATTTAAAAGGCAAATCTTCCTGTTCTCTTTCAAAAATTTAATTATTTTATAATGAGAATCGTAAGGTGTTTGGGTAATAGAAAAAGAAAAATTTTTAAAAATATGCACTATTTATGCGTAACTTTCCAAACAAAATTAAAAATTGATTTGGCAAGGTACACATTGTTAATTGGATGTGTGTTATTGGTTTTTATTCTAATTTGAATAATCAATCCATCGACTTATCAATATATTTTGTCATGTGCCATTTATTTCGGCCTTGCTGGAGTTTTACATTTAATTTTTTGTGAGTCCATAACCTCATATGACTTCATTTCAATAATCTCATTTTGTGGGTCCATAATTATGTGATAATGGACCTTATTAGATTGTTGAAAATCGAAATTTTTTAAAATCAATATTAATGTTATTGACTATAATATTAATGGGATTGCATTTTATGTAACATTAATAGCTTGAGAAAAGTAAAATTTGTTGTTAAATTGGAACTTAAATTATTACGGTTGGTTGGTTCTGTCAAAAATAATTATGATTAAAAGAACTTAAATTTTTTAGTTTTGTGGTGCACAGCCAAATCTCTAAATGGTATCTTCATTTCCTTCATTTTTCAATGTTCCATTTCTGTTTAGAATTAGTATATAAAATTTACAGGAAATGTGCTTAACTTAAAATAATGGTATTTTAGCGCACACTTTCTGTAACAGCATTTTGTGTATATGTACTCGTATATACACGTACCCTTTATGTACAATGTATGCACTTTTTTTTATACATATATTATTACGTATATATATTGTCTGATTTTTATACCTATATATACCATCTATGCATACTAAACTGAATTGTAACTATCCTTGGATAGAATAATTTAGATTTTTACTATAACATAAATTATTTAAATTTTTAAATTTTGTGTCTTTTTAATTTGCAAATTTGTTAGGTAGCAAATTTGTAATACAGAGCATAAATTTCATACATAATTAAATAATATATAATATGTAAAGCTGTATGTATGTAGGTCTGTAAAAATTCAGTTTAATTTCATTCTAAATAATTTTTTTTTAAATCTGACATAGTATTTGTCTTAAAAAAAATTCTATTTCTGAAATAGAAAAATTTTGTTGTTTTAAATCAACATTTTTCTTATTTTTTTCACAAAATACTGAAAACAATACTTAGATAATAAAGCTAATAAGTAAGCAAAGAACAAAACAACAACAAACAATAGAAATTGCAAGCCAGAAACAACATTAACTAAATTTCATTCGGAATGCTTTTAACATGCTACACATACATGCCCGTGTATATGCGTATGTGCGTATACTTACGTATGATTACGATCTGCGTGCACAAACGCAATCACAAATTTTAATTTGATTGAATACATTGCTGTTGCTGTTATTCTTATTTTGTTAAATGCAATGAATTTGCTGATAATATTTTGTCGCTGCGTTCGAATAGTTATGTATGTGGTACATTGTTTTTCTGTTCTGGCACCAAAAAATGTTTAAATTATATGTACTCGTACATATTGTCATATAGTTCGCATTTGTTTGTTTTTTTCTTAATGCACAATATATTTGAAATTGCATTTTTTTCTAATTAGCTTAACATACGTATATAAAAAACGAAAAAAAAACATACACAATAGCAAGATAAAAATAAATACTATGTGTTTTATCTGTAATACAAGGTTACCATTGGTTCCATTATACTTAAATACAAATTCTAAGTAATACGAAGTGAAAAGTGTGAAAAAAAATTAAAAAAAGAATTTCTTTTTTCTATATTAAAATTTAAATTGCATTTTTCTTTTTAACCCAAAAGTGATTTTTGAATTTTGTTTTTAGTCTATAAGTGCAATTTGAAGGATCAACAACAATAAACGGAATCGAATTTAAAAATTATTTTATTTAAAAAAAAAAATTCAATAATATTTTAAAATTATATAATGAAAATTTAATTAAAATTAATTCAAATTAGTAAAATTTCATTAAAAATTAAGTAAAATTTTATTTTAAAAGGATATTAAAATAAATTAATTTAAAGTATGGCACATAATCGTAATCGATATTTACGTGTTTCACCAGATATCGAACGAAATCGATATACAAGTCCAACGACAAATTATTTACCTGTAACGGATTATTTTGACCCAAAAATATATAGAGCAATAACACCTCCATTAACAAATTTTGCTTTCAAATCATCACGTCTGAGTCCATCATATGAAGGTGCCGATATGGATTGTTTATCACGTTCAGCATCAGCTAGAGCTGAATTTATACGTTTAAGTCGACAAAATCAAATGCGTACATCACCAATGATAACAACACCAAGAAGAAGGTTTGATTCACCATTAAATTTAAAATTAGTGTCACATACAACGGCACCCGGTACCCATTCAGAACATTACTGTGAAAGTGATGAAGATGTTGACGAACAATTAAATCGTTTAGAACGTGAACGTCTATTACGTTACAAAAGACGTTTAGATTTAAATAAAGAACCCGAAATAACACCAGAATTAAAGACAGCAATACGTGGTGCATCAGCTAATGCTATCGCTGAAGCATTATTAGCTGAATCTGAAAACAATTTAAGAAAAGCTCGGCTTGAAGATCAACAATTTGTTTCAAGATGCTTAAATGTACAGAAAGCGAAACGTGGTACCAGTTTAGAAAGACAAACTGGTAAACATACACCAATGGATGCACATGAACGGCACGTTGATTTAATGGAGGAAAGATTAAAAAAAGAATTACATAAGCGGCCGATATCACCAATTAAATTACCATTAATTCCAAGAACTGATCCAATCACAAAACGATATGAATTTTATGCTAATTCGCAATGCATACCAAGAATAACACCATATCAATCAGAAAATTTACCACGCCGTTATGAATGGACACCATTATATCCGATACCAAAACATAATTATACAACATCAAGATTAAGTCCAATTGTCGGTTATCCAAGACATCATGATCATATTGCAATCAGTACAACATCAAGAGTTACTGGTCCAGCAACAAAAGATTATTCATATAGAAGAATCCATTTTTAAATTGATTAACATATGAACATTTATAGCCGAATTTATTAAATAATTATTGCAAAGCTTGTACTAATTCGGAATTTATTGTACTTATTTATTGAAGATTGTGGAATTTAACTTTAAGATGAAATGAAGGGGTTTTAAACTGACAAAAAAAATATTAACCAAAGTTTTATTTAACTTTTAATGTTGTATTCAAATTTAAATGTTACGTAATAGCAACAGAAATAGGGATATAGTTTAGTGTAATATTACAGAAAGGAGAAAAAAAATTAAAAGGGATTACTAGTTTTTGAAGAATTTTTAAATTACAATTGATGCTGTGTTAATAATAGCTGCTTTTTACTAACCTATAAAATTACTATTTGTTTTTGATAATTTTGGGTATAATTAATAATTGGATCCTTGAGAATTAAATTACAAATGAATCAAGTTCAATAAATAAATTGAAAATATTGTATTCTTTCCTTCGGTTCAAAAGATTTTTCCAGGATATTTTTGAAAATTCTTCTTTATTAAATTAATTTAATAATTGAAGTTCTTTCCAATTATATGTAATGAAAATATCTATGAAATTTCTCAAACATTTAATTCATTTTTTAATTGTTATTGAGGAATTAAATAAAATATTAAACAATATTTTTAACTAAATATTTTTTAAACTAAATGTTAAAGTTTTTTATTGTGAATTTATTTATTGTTAAACATTATTATACCAGAGAATAACGAAAATAAAACAGAATTTAATGAAAATATCTTTTTTTTTAATTTAATTAGGAATAAATTATATGAAAATAGATTGTAGACCTTAATTTCATTTCATTAACATTAATTTGAACAGTAATTTGAATATCACTTTCAATATAAATTTATAGTTTTAAGTGGCTCCATTACCTTAATTCGTAAACAATCTTAATAATGATGTATCGAATTAATCCGTCTGATAAGTTCATAAGAACGATTTTGAAATAACTTCTGCATATGCTCTATATAAGCATTGACTTCATTTAATTAGTCTGTTTGCATAAAGTTTCCAAATAGTATTATAAAAAATGAGTTCATTCAAGAAACTTTATTTGAAGTCTAAATTATTTTTAGATCAGATAATATGAGTAAGTAAAAACTCCCTCAAGATTTTTTCTAAATCCCTGTATCTAGGAAACCGTGTAGAATTGACCTAGTTTCAAATGAAAATTTTAAACATTTTTGACTATTTCTTTACTGAATAACGCTACATTCAGCAAGAGGAACTCCTTGACACAAGCGTTAATGAAATTATATTAATCAATTTTTTGTTAATTATCTGTGTAATTAACTGTGCAATTCCCATTTAAAGACGACCTTTTAATTTGTTAAATTTAAGTTTTTCTTTAATATTTTCTTCGTGTATTTCAGAACGAACCAGAGAAACATTGTTACTGTACTAATCCACCAGATGGATGTCCACCTAAAGGAACTATGGCATTAAGTAAATGTGTTGGTGGCCCATTAGTTATTTCATTACCACATTTGTATCTTGCTGAACCAAAATTATTTGATGAAGTCACTGGATTAAAACCAAATGAAAAAGACCATAAAATTTATTTGGAATATGAAATAGTAAGAATTTCACTTGAATATTGTAAATATGTACATAATAAATAAAAGTGTACATATACATTATGCAATTATTTATAAATTATATAATTTTGTTTATTTGTTGATTATAGGATAACGAATTTAGTTTAATTTATAAACAAAATATATTAAATAATTAAATAACTCAGTAGAAATTGTTAAGTAAAAATTGTAATGGATTAGTATCGCTCTCAAATTTGTTTCTTGAAAAAAGTTCAAAATTTCTTGAAAAAAAATATTAAAAATAACATAAATTTCAGCTTTCATAAATATAAATAATGTGCATTAAGTAAATATATGAAATTTTTTAGGTCATTTCCGACACACTTTGGCAAAAATGTGCTTATTTGTGTCGGTCAATACGTTCGCTTTTCTGTTGATCTATTTAAAGCAGCTCAGTATTGAAAAATGAACCTATCGTCTCTACAATCTTTTTAATTTTATCCCTAAGCTATTGATTTCCTGCAAATATTGACTGAATAAAGATTGGAGCGACGTAATATATTTTTGTGAGAAACTCATTCCGTTTTCAATCAAGTCATAGCTTTTAGCAACCCTAAAATTTCCAGAAATGCGAAAAAATGGAATAGTTTTTCTTTAGAGAACCAGAATGTCGATTCCAAATAAACATTTTCAAAAAAAAATTTTGAAAAAAAGTACTTATTTGTTTCATTATGTCCGTCCGTCCTTCCGTTCCTGGATATGTTTACAAAACTTTTACACTCTTGATGATAGAAAAATAGTGGTTTGCTTTTTCTGCCACGACATACCATACTTGAACTTTATGAAAACAAAATAGCCGTTAAAATTTATCGTTATCTAAAACCTTTTTCCAAATTTTTGATATCGTTTTTCTTCCAGACGTTAAGGTTTAGAAGCCTGAAAATTTAGCAGCTTTTAAACACTAATAAATAGTTCATTTCGTTAGAAGACCATTTTTTCCACCTTCATCCTCTCTAAAGTTATCGCCTTTCGAAATTTGTAAAATTCGAATTTTTGGTAGCTTATATTTCCGAAACTTTAAACTTTTCCGAATTTCCATAAATGCAGAAAGCTAACTGTAAATGCCATCCCTTTAAAAAATATAATTATTTTTCTTAATTCACGCAATTAGCCCTTAAATTCGAGCATTATATTAACGCCTCTTTCAATTTTTTTTCGGTTTTTGCAATGTATTAAACAACGCTCATCCTAAACGTATGCAATTTTTAAAATATATTCCTATCCGAACAAAACATATTTTTATAATACACTACATAGCTAGATTGTTCTTAGAATTTTCATTTGTTGAACGGAAAAGTGCTAAATTACAAACCATTGGTTTGACCCAAATTTATTAAATTACTATTTTGCATTTCTCCTTGAAGTTTCAGTAGGATTTAAAAATTATAATAAAAAATATTTTGAATTTTTATTACTGTTGTGCAATAAGTTTCTGTTAATGATTACAATAGTTTATTTTATTTCATAATTTAAAATACGAAATTAATTTTTTTATTCTTTTTTTATAAAATAAACATAATATTATTTAGATGACAGGTACACCATTGTCTGCAGCAAAACGTTTACAATTCAATTTAGATGTTGAATCTGTTGAAGAAATCGAATCAATGAAAAATATTAGAAAAATGATATTACCATTCTTCTGGGTTGAAGAGAGTGCAGAATTAAATAAAACGTATGCAGATATGTTTAAGAAATTATTTTTGTAAGTATTCCAGATTAATTATGAAATCAAAATCAATTCTTGGGTTCAAAGGAATTTTCAAAGGAACTTTGTATTATCTATGTATTTTGATTTAGAAAATGGTAAACTTTATTGCTTTTATGAAAATATAAAAATTGCAAAATATTAACATTCTTATATCAGTTCTATATACTTATTTGATTTTCGTATATAACGAGATTTAATTTGTTAACAGATTATCTTATATGAAATACATAGCATTTATAGCATTTTTTATTATATAAGAAATTTTAGTTTTTTTATTCTTTCTTCTCAATTTAACTTACAATTTTGAAATAATCGAAAAGTTTTAATTGAAATAAAAAAATTTAGATAAGAGTTCATTAAACTGGGCTATAGTTACTTACATTATTTTTAGAAAATGTATATTAAGGCCCTTATTATGATCGGCGAAGCGAATGAAACTCTTGGCGAATACAAATTTTTGGCATTAAATTAGCGAATTTGCCTTAATTTTAGACAAACGAGCATTCAATTCTGTCGAATGAAAATTTTCTGTGACAAGTTTGGCGGATAAAAAATCAAAATAATACATGAGTTTTTTTTATTGGATATTATAGCATTTATAGTGATATAATGAAAAAATCTAAACTATCTGTAAAGTAAGTTCATAAATTTCTACAAATTATTGTAAAAAATATTGATTATTTAATATTAATTTAAGCGTGAAAAGAACGAACCAAAAACAACTCGAGCATTTAAATGTTAAAAAATTATTTAAATAAATTAATGGACAATAAATCCGACGTTACTAAATAGCAGAAGCCAATTCTTTTTGCAAAAACACAAAAGCCATGTACATATGTTTGGTGTTAACCTTATTATTTTCAGTAGGTTTTCTGATGTCTTGCGGTAGTAACATTTTGGATCTGGCGAATGATAACATTCGCCGATTATAATTTTTTATGACATTTTTGTCATTCGATTCGCCCAGCTATTTGCTTCGCCGATCCTAATAAGGGTATAAATATGACACCAAACAATTTCAATGTGCCACGTGATAAAGAAATTAAATTTATAAAACTATTTAATTTTCATATAAGTTTGGAATGATTTAGGAAAATTTATTTCAATTGTTAAAAACTCATATAAGGTGAAAATAAGATGAGAATTCCAAATGAAATGTGTGTAATTTATACTATTCTTATGAAGCTTGCACAAAAATATGTAATTTATACACTACGAGTACTCATTAAAAAAATAAAATTGTATTCAAAACCAATATGGTAAAAATGAAATACTCGTACTTGTAATATGAATTTCAACCTTTTATTCGCTTTATTTAGAATTGTTCAGTTTAACATAGCAATAAAATTCTGTCCATTTTTTAAAACAATTTGTCGTTTTTAAGACGAAAACTATAAATTTTTAAAAGATTATTACTTTATTTTGTATTATTAATAAAATGTAATTAAAAATATGGCCATTTTTGAGTATTACAAAATATTATTGCATATTTTTAACTCAAATAATTCATTTGTATTATTATATAAGTGCGATTTATTCATTTTACTAATTTATTATTTTATTTATTTATTAATTTAGTAATAATTTGTTTTATGTTATCGTTTTTGCTTTTTCAAAATACAAGGACAATTGAAATTAATAATTCTCTAAAATGGACTTTTACATTTTTTGGAGGTGTTGGTTTTTTAATGTGCATGTATTTTAATTCACTTAAACCAAAAATAAAGGAAGTTCAAAGTCAGAAAAAAGTCGGAGATAATTTTAAAATTAATCTTAATGTGAATAAACTTAACGATACTGTGGCATCAGAGAGTAATGGTGGGACCAAAAATATTTTGGAAAGACAAAAATCAAATGATAGTACAATGAATAATTCAGTAAAATATTAAATAAGAAGAATATTAATTAAATTTCTGATTACAATAATTATTATAACTTATTAGTTATTAGGTACATAATATATTTTCTTTTCATTATTTAAAATTTTAAATGAAATGTTTGTATTTTAAATTTTCGTATATGTTGCATAATCAAATGAAATAATTCAAAAATACAGTTCAAAAATGATTATTGATAATTATTTTGTTAATAAAAAAAATTTGATGTAAATAAATTGTAATGTGTTTCGTAATAAAGAGTTGGTCAGTTGAATTATAATTTACTAGTTTAACTCTCTGCCGCTCTTAATTAATACCGGTCTTCGAGAGTTAATATAATTTTTACGAGTTAATGTAACAGCATATGTCATAGACATACAATGGAAGTTGACATTAAATATAAATTGAAGATTCGTGTATTGAATTACAATTTCCTTACTTAAAAAATTAATATTAAATTAAATACTACAAAATTTTCTGAAAGAAAAATCAAAATGTAAGTATTTTAAAATCTATTTAGAATCAAAAAGTATTTAATACGAGTATTTAACTTTGATTCATTATTTTATGAGTTAAAACAATGAAAAATATTTTTATATTTAATATAAATAATGCATATAAAAAGGCTTTTGAAACAGGAAAAAAAAGTCAAGTAATTTTTTAAGGAAAACATATACTGATTAAGTATTCCATTGTTTTACGACAGACGCTTTTAAATTAAATATAAATATAGAAGAATGCGATGTGTTCAGCACATAACCGTTCGCTAGGTCAAGTTTTGTGAAAATATTGCATAAAATTATAATAATGCTCTTTGAACATTTTCTTCAGATTTTAAGGACGTTACTGAGCTTTTAGTTAGCGTTCGCAGGAAGATATAGTTTTGGCTCAAATTTCATGAAAAGTTGATCTTTCACTTCCGATAGCAAAAAGAATTTAGTTGTTAAATTTTAAAAAATTTCTACAACTAGGTTCTCAAATATAGTACAAAATTATATGTTAAAATCAGTTTCCAAACCCTGATAATTCAAAAATTTTTTTAAATTTGTTGTTTTAATACCCTAAATTTATATATTTAATTTGAAAAAAATTACTTAATTATTTCTTTTTATGTGCGCAAAAATAAAAAAAATCGGCTCGTAAAAAGGCCCTTGAAATGTTCAAAAGTTGATCAATCCGCAATACAGCCAAAATAAACTCATATATAAAATGTCATCAAAATTGGTTCAGCTGAACTTGACATACACGCGTGCACACACAGATCGCGACAGACCGACATCTTGCTAAAAATAGTTAATTTAGACTTCCTTACAATAAAGATGAGCTCTTCCACCGAAAACTCATTATGCGAAATTTGGTGTGATCAAATAACCTCCCTTATTGTAGGCAATGCAGTCGGTAAATATATGCAGTCGGTAGCAACCAAAATAACTTCTCAAATTTGATAGGTGGCCGTACTAATCAACTTCCCTTTTGTGATACTAGATATTTTTCTATAGGTAGAGCAAAGGCCATTTATAATCTATTGGATTAAATGTATACGAGTATTGTATACATTTAATCAATAATTATACATTTAATTGAATTGAATAACTAAAGTGAGAGCAATTACTTTTCAAAGAAATACTTCATAGAAATATTACTTTTCTAAGAAATGTAGTACTACTATACATCTTTTCTAAGAATTAAAAATCTAGCTTTCCGCAACTTATAACGATTGTGAATTGCTAAATTTAATTAGGATACAAAATACCTTGTAGGTCGTACCTTCAACCAGTTAAATAGCATTTTTCAGAACTTTTTTTTTTTAAGGACCCCATTTTTGTTCATTGCTTCCTAATAACAGACGTCATTACGAAAATTATATGAAGTCAATCTTTGGTCAAATTTCATTAACATCAATGAATTGCCGAACCCATTAAATTTCGATGCCTTCTACTAACGTGAACCTGAAAAGTTTTACACATTTCGATTTTCTATACAATGGTGTATTATATCGTAGCATGGAATGCTTATTTATCAGTGGCAAAATTAAATTCAAAACTTTTAAAAAATTTATAATTAAATTAATAATTTGGTTTTATTTTAAACTTTTTGTTTGATTTTTATTTTTTTTTCTTGTATAAATATTAAAAATTTTAACAGGTACAAATTAAAACTAAAGTTTTACAAAAAAATAAAATGAAAGAAATTTAGCATGTTTCCGATTTCTGCAATTTATGTAGGTAGATACATTTTGCTTTATAAAATTACATTTAATAAAAACATCTTAATTTTGAAAATTTTATTTAATAAAAATATTTTTAAATCCTCTTTATATATGGTAGCGTTTTTAAATGATGGAACAGTTTTGACTAAAATGTGAATGAATTGAATTTTGTTAATCGATATTTGAAGAATAACATGGTAATAATTTGAATGATCTACTGCTTTTTGATAAGAAATGATTACGTATAGGTGTTTTTCCAGAAAATTTTATTTTAATTAATAAACTAAAAGTATCGCGTTTGTTCTCAAATTTTTCTATGTAAATAAATCCTCTTTATCTTACTAAAATATTCAACTTAATTAGGTATAATATCAACAATTTAAGGTAATTTAAATTATTTAAGGAATTTTTAAAAAAATTAATTGCTTTTGGAAAAGTAAAAACGTTGAATTTATAGTGGATTGACTCGTTTCAACAGTATTTTATATAAAACGATTCCGAGTATATTCCTTCTGTTTAGTTAGCTTGTTGAATTCAAAGATTAAAAGGAAACGAATTAAAGGTGATGTTGAACTTCAAATGTTCAATTAAGAGTAAATAACACTTCTCATTAATTTTAATTATTCTATAAAAAGGTGATCTCTAAAATATTTTGTTTGTAGTTAAATTAGATTGAATTGAATTTTTAAAATTAAATTTACAACTATAATTTTAGACTGATTAAAAAAAATCACTGAGTTGTTTTTTTTTTGTTTCTTCAGGTTAATAGATCAATCACAGTTTCTTTTGTTTTGTACCTTGAAATCTAATAAAATCTAATTGTTTTAATAAACGTTTTAAAATAAAAATCAATAAAATAACGGCTGCCACTAATGTTAAAACGATGTCAACTAAATAATATTGAATCCAACTAAAAGAAAACAAAGGAAAACATTTAAAATATAACAATCAGCAAATTTTAACAAAATTTCAATTTTACTTTAAATTTCTTCCAGGTGATTGCAAATGATATGCTCCTTTATGTCTCAAAACATATTCAGTCCAATAAACTGCAGTTTCAAGCGGTGTTGTTCTTTGATCTAATAACATTTTCTGCCGTATCCTACAAGGAAATAAAAACTTTCTTATAAGAAACTTTTGACAAGTACTAAAAAGTTTACTTTGCATTTTCTTTATATTTCGGATCATGGATTATACGATTAATAGCCCTATATAATTGATCACTAGTTAATTGTTCTAGTTTTAACACAAGAGCGTATCCATCTAATTCAGCTTTAAATGCATTTGCATCATGGTCGCAAAAAACTGGTATCGAAACTATTGGTACACCATGATAAACACTTTCAAACATACTTAAAAGTCCACCATGTGTTATGAAGGCACGTAGCTTTTTATGTCCCAATATATCCTGTTGTGGAAGCCATCTTCTTAATTTTATATTTGTTGGTAAATCATGCATACTTGTTATACTACTTTCCCATTTCCATAAAACATGGTATGGTAATCGGGCAAATGTCTTTACTAATAATTTTCTTAATTTTTCTGGCATATTTGCTGCTTTTACTGATGAACCCATTGAAATATATATAAAACCAGTGTCACCTGAACTATTTACAAAATCTTCTAAATCTTTTGGTAAGGGTTTCGCTGGTTTACAATGAATACATGCAACTTCAGCCACATTTGGTAGAAATGGTCTTGGATATGTTACAGAAAAATGACCATTTTGTAATATAAAACTAACATTTTTTCCAATTTCATATGGATGTGGTACATCCATTCCGAGATTTTGTTTTAATATCATATGAACTGGCGGCATTGCAACAAACTGAATATTAAATAAGTTAAACAAAATTTAATAGTTTATTAAAAAATAGTAATAATTTCAACAACAAATAAAGTATTTTCAGACCTTATGCATAAAATATGCAAACATTATCATGCCTGCATTTGATATCCTTTCGAGAAAATTCATATTATCTGAAATTGGTGCATAAAATGCTGGTGTTATTGAAAATGGTGTTGGATTGCCAGCTACTGATAACGCACCAGTATAAAACGCAACTGTATTAATAAACATAAATGGTATTTTAAGTTTATAAACTAATCCAAGAGCGCATTCTGGGAATGCTCCATCTAATATTGCTAAATCAAATGTACGATATAGGAGTTCTTTGGTTTCTTCATCTTCTAACATTGCTTCACATGACTGAAACGAAAATGAATAATTATGTTTAATTTATATTTTGATTACTCAATGTTTTTAAAAAAAATATTATCTTTTCCTCGTTTATGTTTTTAATTTTCACGTTTACATTTTTGTTATACTTATTTCGAATAAATTAAACTCAAAATAAAAATGTGTTCTTCAATAAAGAATATTCCGTAAGTGAACTACATTAGAAAGCTCTACATTAGAAAACTCCATCGAAATGTTCTTAACCATAAAGTGAATTAAAAAATGACTGATAGTCATTTTGAGAAAAATTGAATTTGTAATAAAATTACCGTGTCGTCTTTGTTAACTGTTGTTTGTACTAGTGTTGGGGAACTAACGTGATATATTGATAGTTCTACAACATGTAATCCGGATAATTTATACATAGTATTTAATAAAGCGCGTTGAAAATCACTTTTGATTTTTTGACAAAAATACTTAAACACTAACTGACTTTCTTCAAATTTGAAATTATTGAGCGCAATATCGCAAATATCAGAACTAAACCAAAAATGGAACCACATTAATATTTAAGCTTAAATTCAGTATTCAAATGACAAAATATAGAGTGTTAAATTTCAAGTTCAAGTTTTCACATGACTATTAACTGTTTTCGTTTGTTCATTCCAAAAAGAGAGAATAGAAAGGATAGACTATTCAGGAGAAATCTTACCACTAAATTTCTAAAAATATTTTTTTATATTTTTGTACATTCTTCAATGAGAAAACTACTTCCCTCTTGTTTTTATAGAAGTTACACAAAACTTAAAGCACTGAAGAAAAAGATTGCCGAAATGTAACATTATTTGTCAAAATTTAATAGTAAATAAACTTAGGAGTAGAGGAAGAGAGAAAGAAATTTTATTCCAATAAAAATAAAACAATTCTAATAAAAAAAAATAAATTTTACTGATATTTATATGAATTATATAGATGATAAATTTATTGGTCCTTGGATTTACCATTTGAAAGAATAATTACTCAAAAAGTTTAAGGGAATCAGCGTTATCAAAAGTTAATAAATTCAACCGCCTACTGTAAATTTTTGATATTTTAGGATACATTGGATCTCAACGATTTTGGCAGGTACGAGTATTTTAATGAATTTTGACCAAATTTCTAATTGTTCACGTATTTTAGTTTATAACTCCCGTTGTAGAGCCGATAAGAGATTCAAACAAAAAGCTTTTAAAAGATCTTATGAGGGGTTTGAAATATTGATACAATTTATGTTTTGTGTACTCTAGGATTTACATTATAAATTTTAAAAAATTAATTTTTTTCGTATTATCATTTTATTTTTGCCTAAAAATTATACGCCATAAAATTTTATGGAATTTTAGCGCATGTCCCAAGCTGCTAATTTATGAATTTTAGCTGCTAAACTTGAAAATATCACTTCAAATTCGGGAAATAATCTAAGAGAGCCATTTATATAACAAAATTTTAAAAATTTTATTGAAAATTTCAATTTTTGTAATTTTTTGTTTATATTATTCTTAATTATAGCAAGCATCTAGTAAAAATATTATTAATGTTTTATGTACTTTTATTTTGATAAAATTAATACTTTGTTTTATCGTTTTATTGAATTGACAGTTTGAGTAAAATTCATATTCAATCGTTGATTAGAATCTGTTAAGAATTTGAATAAAAGAGGTTTTACTGTAAATAATCATATAAAATAATTGTCAATGGTTATCAAAATCAAACACTTAGTAATTACAGTTATATTTTTATGATTTCATTGTTGACAGATGCAACTAATTTTTTTGCTTAAAATGATTTTACTTGATGACCACTGATTAATTAAAAAACTTGTATTCTTCAAATTAAATAACATCAAAGCAGGGATAATGTTTTGAAGAATATGCAAATATACACTTAGTACATGGTGAAGCACAATAAAAAATCTTCTTTAGCTTGGAAAATTTAAGGCGAAAGAGAAACTTGCCATATTACCGCACATTTATAAACATTTATACATAGGTAATTGAACGAACGACATAAATTTACTTGGAATAGACAAGGAAGATGATGTATTTCTACACCTTAGTAGGAAATTAGTATACATATAGAATAAATATGAGTTTGCATCCCCCAAACAAACGTTTGAAGAATATTGTGCAAAATCAACTAGTGCAAAATTTAAAAAGTCATGATTTAAGAGTTAGAAAGAGATTCTGCGAGATTACGCGGAAAATGGTTCGAAATGACCTATCCTTATTAAAAAACATATTGTATATACCGATGAGCAACATTTAAAAAGGCCGGAATTTTAAATTTCCACAACTCGTGTATTTGATCAAACACAAACCAGCATGCAATGTTGGGAACTATTAATTAAAAAAGTCGCAAGAGAAATATTTGGTGTGGAATCATTGGAAATGTACTTATTCGGAAAGAATTGGAATCTAAATTAGAGTTTTGTCTCAGCTTTCTTCAAGATGATCTTGAGTTTTGTTCAACATGATATGAAAAAAAAATTACTGATTAAATTATTGATTGCTACATCACCCTGCATGTGCATAAACATACAACTTTAATTTCTGCTCTGTAATGTGGAATAATATAAAACATTTGAAAACATTAACGTTATTTGGTAGGTCAACAAAATATACTCAAATTAATTATTTGCGTAATTATCATACAAAAAATTAATGTAGAATTTCATATGCATATTAATTTTAGTATTTATACTTTAATATTAATTATAGCATTTTTATATTTGCTCATTTGCTAGTAAACTTCAAGGTAGTGTAAGAACTTTTTTTACCTTTATAACTTGTTTTAATTTTTGAGATTACTAATTTTATGCGGTGCGTTTAAATTGATCGCAAAATCATAATAAAAGTACCTATACAACTCAGCATAAAAAAATTGCTTATAGATTTCAGATGGAATTTTTTAGAACAGTTCTTGTACACTGAGTATATATATGTATATTCCTATGTATGTAAATCTGTACATGTTTACTAGTTAACATTGAATATTACTTAGAAAAATAATATTTAGAGCAAAAGTCAAGTTTTAATTTCAAGATTTTCGTTGCTTTTTTGTCCATAATTTTTACACAAATAGAATAATGTAGATCGTAAGCACTCATGATCACATACAGACACCATATATTTTATTTGTATATACATATACATTATATTATGACCAAATATAGCTACGTGTATTCATAATAAGGTATGTAAAGTTCAGTTGAATCAAAATTGTAAATAGTTATTGAAAATCAGTTTTAGTTTTACGGTTTAGTTCGTGCATAAAATTGCTTTACATGTAAAGTTGATTTCTTTAGTATTTTAAATTATGAAGTCAGGGTCGGTCAAAGAACTCTTTGTTTATATTTGAAACTACCGCGTTAAAAGCACCAATATCATGTAAAAAGTGCATGTATGACCAAATTTTTTTTACTTAAACTAATTTAAAATGGAATTATTTTAAAATTATGTTAAAAATATTTTCAAATTAACATGTTTTAGAATTCATTTTGGTTTTAAATTTTTATGTTTAAATCAGTTATTTTGATCGAACATAAGAATATGCAAAGTACCGAAATATGCAAATGTAATTAAATGTAGTTTGCTAGTTCTTGAATAATGGTTTTATGGTTAATGTAATTATTTTTAGTGGATAATCTATAAACGTTTTTATACGGGGCATCTCCGTTGTTTTAGACATGTCCGTCCGTCCTATTAGTCGCACGATAACTTAAAAACAAATTAAGCAAATGCCACCCAACTTTCATAAGTTTTTTTTGCCCCAAGGACGGGCCCTAATATAATTGGACCAATTCAGACAACGGGTTCGGAAGCTACCATACAACTTAATGAGATTATTTTAAATATTTTAAACAACTAATAAAGGTATAAATATGAAATTTTGTATACATGTGTCCAATTACATATTACATGAGCTTAAAAAATTTTCAAGGAATGGCTGCGCTGATTCGGGCAGTTGTCATGCAACTCCAAAAGCTAAGATTAGACATATTCCTGAAATTTTTCTGGAATGGCTAGAATAATTGCCATACAACAATGTAAACTAATTCTAAACATTTTAAAAACTAGTCAAAGTGCAGGGGAATTCTTTAAGGTTCAGATCGACTGAAACGTTTTTACTTGTTACTGTAACATTTAACATAAAAAATGTAAATCCATGGTTTGGTTTTTTGTTTAAATTTGAACTTGTTTCTATACAGAATAAGGTCTTGCCATGAAAATTGGTTATCTCAATAAAAAATCATATTGTTACCATCTTTTTAAGGATATATTTTTTGGAAAAAGGGCAAATACTAGTTCGTTTTTGCTTTTACAGAGGTTTGGTAGGGTTAAGTTAAATAGGGGACCCCATAATAATAAAAAAATAAGAGTTAAAAAAAAATTGGTTTTAGTAAAATTCAGTATTTAACGATATCTACACATATAAACAGCAAACATTTAAAAACATTCAAGTTGCCATGCCATCTATAAGAATAACTGTTCAGGAAATTTAAGAAAAAAAGAATTGTTTGAGATAAGGTATTTGAAGGGTCTATTTTGACATTTACTTATATTTTGTTATTGCAGAAAAATTATTTTTAAATTAATTTTAACATTGTGTTTACTACTAAAATTTACAAACTGTCAGTGTCCTGAACATAGTTTTTTCAAAAACTTAGAACTATAAGGCTATGAATTCAAAGAATTATGTATTTGCTTTAAAAACAATAAGTTCATAGAAAAAAATCCTCTTAAGTTTAAACGAATTGAAGACTATTAAGATTTCGGTTCGTATCACTCTAGCATATTTCAAATAGAAAAATTTCTACCACAGTTTTCCTTAACGTATTTAATTATTTATGTTTGTAGTTCTATTCATTGGGATTTGTAAAGCTAAACTTACTTGGAAAGGATATCTAAGTACATCCCATGCTGACACTGGCATTTTACCAGCCATTCTAGCACCGAGCAAATCCCAATTTGTATAATTATGTATGTAATCGACTAGACCTGATGGTGTTATTTCATGTAATCCGTTTAAACTGAAATCGGGTGTGAAGCCATTTAAAAATGTTATATTATGACCCCTGTTTTAATATAAAAATAAAAATAAAAAATTAGTTTTAAATAAACATAAAAATTTTAAGAAATTTTTTCAATGTGTATAAATTTTCTTAAATAATGGGATTTTCCATGAAATCTATTATATTTTCTGATGTATGGAATCTAACGAATCTATTTTAATTTTTCGCTTTGCTACACTACGTCAAAAATTTAATTAAAATAAAAGTGAAAATTGATTTTGTAATTAATTAGTTAATATTTATACCGTTAATTACAAAATTAATTTTATAAATTGAAATAATTCAGATATCTATATATTTTCGTATATTAATATTTATGCTCGGTTTACCTCATTGTAAGATCTAAAAAAGAGAATCAAAAAATTGTTTAAAACTTTAATATGATCTGGGTCCTGAAATTCGATTTTATTTTCAAGAAAAATATTTCGTTTCATTACATAATACATTAAATAGATAAACAATTTCTCACTGTTCATTTAAAGCAATCTATTGTACCTGCACGAGCACATAAAGTTTTAAGACTTTGGGTAAAATGTCATTAATCCTGGTTATGCAAGTTTGTTGAAATAACAAAATAATAATAGCTCAGTTAAATGTATATGTACCGAGAAAACCATTTAAACACAAAATTTACTTTGCTTAATTGCATAATTTTACTGAAATGCCTCGTTATTTAAATCAAAATATAAATTTCTGCTAAATTATGCACGAAAAGGTTTAATAAAAATGCTGTTTATAATAATGATAAAAAAAATATTAATATTACACTTACCTATTAATAAGACCCCTTGACAATTCCCAAAATGGAATTTTATGTGATTTTGTACCACCCATAGTAACCATTAATATTTCAGCGGTTAATGACATCCCAATATGGGTGATTAATAATAATGTAGTAAAAAATTTCATCCTAAAATAAAAAATATGATAATAAAATTTTAATTGTCATAATTTGTAAAAAAGAAAATGTTTAATAATGTTATAATGAGTAATTGTTGCATTTTGTCACAATGTTGAAATTTTTTATTTTAGTTATTTTTCTTTTTAAATATTGCCTCAAGAATTATGTAATTGAAAATTATTATTTTTCAATACTGTTCATTTTAGTGTAATTGACTTTTCTAAAGTAAGATGTTTCATTAAGTTTCTTACCCATATATATGTTTTAATTTGCAAGTAAAAAGTTACACAATAGTGTTATACGATTAATATCAAGTTTAATAGATTACGGGGTTGAACACTCATATTGTTCTCCTATTTTTAAGCATTTTTCCAACGATATTAAAAAAATTAAGTGCTATGATAGTGACAATATTTTACTCTGTCCCGTCCATCTATCGTGCGTTATTTTACAAAACTTGTAATTTTTATCTTAGCTTCAATCTTTTACAAGTTTTGCATAAACATTTTTTGAGTTTTGTAAATACAAAATAGTGGTTTGTTTCTTGGATCGCGCAAAAGCATAACCAAACATCATAATGACAAAATCCCTTTTGCAATTAGGATTTTCTTAAAACCTAATTTTTTCAAATCATTTCGTAGGGTGCACGTTGTAGAAGTCAATGATTTTAACAGGTTTATTTAGTTAGAATAAAAGTTAGTTTTTCCAGCTCTTTCTCCTTCAAAGTTTTCAATGTAATTGACTTTTCTAAAGTCTTTGAAATGACTTGTTTTAAAAGTATTTTAACTTGTTCAAGGAAAAGTGCTACTTTATTCACAAAACTCTTTCGATTCCTTTTGACTTTAAATAGGAAGTTTAAAGTTTTTAGTTATTGTTTTTTAATCGAACCTAAAACAAATTATTTAAAAAAAATTTAAACATGTGACAGAGTCAAAATCGTATTGAAGGTTAAACTAGTTGAGTACTAGTTGAGTTTAAAAAAACAAAAAATTTTAATCTAATTAATTTAAGAATTACATAAGATTGTAAAAATAGCTTCCATAAACTTATTTCAAATATAAAGAAACTCTATCCTTCTAATTTTTCTACAAGTTTCTGCAAAAAATTTTGTAAATATGTCATAAGTAATGATAACACACATACACAGATTTTTTTGTTTTAAAATGTACTTGCAAAGAGAAAAAGTATTTTTACTATTCACAAAAATTATTGCATTTCTCATTTAAAGAGAATTCAATGAAATTTTTTTATATCATGACATAAAGCTTTTATATCATGACATACAAATTTTTTGTATAACTGAGGAGAAAATGTAAGTGAACAATAAAATTGATTACTTTACATGTTTAGCCATATTATATAACATGTTCCTTACACAGTGAGAGAGAGGAAAAGAGAAAAATTTTTTATTACTATTTTACGTGCTACACAGTTCTTCATATATATATACCTATATATATATTTGTATATACTTGTAAATATTGCTTAATTCAAAAACACCTTGTATAAACATTTTATGAATCCATTCTTAATACCTGATCAGCAAAATGCATCCAGTAAAATTTATAATATACATATTATAATACGTATATTATTTCAAAAAGTATGTACATTGCTCAAATTGAATATTTCTTATTAAGCACTTAGATATAATTTGAAATATCATTATGTTGAGATGTATTCATGTATAGCATGCTCTGGAAATTGTTGTCTTAAATCGCGGTAATACAAAGAGTTACAGAAGTTTTGACTTTCATCGTAACTCTATACTCTGGCATACTACTACCATTCTAAAAATGTTTTCTCATAGTATTGTCTGCGGAAAGTTTGTTTGGATGGAATTAACATAATTTTCTTCATTATTTCTGTAACTACATTAAAATTCAATCGCAACAATGCGCGGAAAAAAACCTTAAAAACAGTGGTTTATGTGCCTTTCGCTTTTCGTTTTTCTGTTTTAATCTTTAACTTTTCTCTTTCTCATTTTTGTTACATATGTATTTATGTATATATGTATGTACTAGGAAACCGGGAAAAAATATTGAACTTTCATTTAGTATAACATGACTAACAATAATTATTGGAATTTACTATTTTAAAATATTGACGACTCAAATTTACTGGTTTCCATCTAGGTATTTTGATATACATACATACATATACATGTTCACCGTCTTGAGCTTTGATTACTATGTTCATGCTTAAATAAGTGTATTGAATATTTGCATTGCATTCGTTTGTAAGCGCGTGATTGTAAAGAGATGGCGTATAATAACGATATAAGGCTAGTTTAGTAAAGAATTAAGAAAAATATTTACAATAATGTATAGAAGTAAACAGTAGCTATAATAATTTAAAAATATTTAAAGGGTAAAGCGTAAGGAAGTAGTTAAACTAAATTTACCGCTATGGTTTTTGCTTTTCTGTTTTGGTAAGCAAAAGAAAGTACCTGCATTGTTGGAAATATTTATTTTGAAATACAGTTGTGTTATGCATACCGTGTTGTGTAAACGATTTTATAATATTGTGATGGTGTTAAAAAAATTATAGTGAAAATTTTTTGACCTTCAACTTGAATTTTTTTTCTTTCTGTTACTAATGTTGGTGGTAATAAAAATTTATGTATGTAGGTATGTTATATAAACAAAAATTCTGTATTGTTATGTAAGGGTATTCTGATTATGTTTGATGTTCCGCTCTTTTAACGTGAGTTTAATTTTGATATTAACATTTTTTTGATAATTTATTGGTATTTGAATTTAAATTTCTTATTCTTAATGATTTTTAATGAACAAATGTTGCAACGAAAGATTGCTTCGTAGAATGCAAAAGGTGGTATATTGGTAGCATCTTATAACATGCTCAAAGTTTTTTATTAGTAACTACATAATTTCGTTTATAAATTTAAATTGTTACAGATAAATTTGTCAACATCAGGAATGTCAAACATGTAGCCCGCGATTCGCATCCGGAGCGCAGCTGTTCATCCTGTGGCTCGTTACCATTTTTTGAAATTGTGAAATTCAATTCTTATAATTTTGTTACAAATATTGATTTAGATCAGTAAGAAAGTTTTGAAGTCAAAGTGAAAGTTCTGCGGGAGTTTTCCACACAGCCAAAAATCAAACTTATGCATATGCGAAAAATACATAATTTCGAGAAGTTGTAAACGACTGTATTATAAATCAAATACTTATTTATTTTAACCAGTTTAAGTAAATAAGAGATTTTCCGAATATTATAATTAGAATAAATTATTAAAAACCGAATTCGAAAGAAGATTTTTAGATTTTAATAGTGATATCAAAATGAATTTAATTAGGTATATACATAGGTACTTTTCCATTTTCTATTGATATTGAAACACTTGATGCAAATTTACAATTGAAATAGAAATGCTGTGCGATATTACAATAAAAATTTTTTTAAGAAAAGCGGAAATTACTAAATTTTATAATTATTTACCTATAAATCAATTAAGCGTGTTTTGATCATGTTCGGAAGCACATATTTCTATGAACTGTAGTTTTCGATATTAAAAAATAATAAAACGGCTGAAAGATCAAGATTGATAGATCAACATGTTCATTCCATATTAAAAATATTGAAAATTACAACTGCGAATTAAATTCAACCAAATTTCGAAGATTTAGTACTCGTAACAGAAAAACTTTGCTAAATTTCTTTAAAAAAATGATTTTTTATTTTTTTGTATGATTGTATTATTTTTATGTTTCATATTTTGTTATGCTGATATTGAAAATCAAAATTTGAATATAATTCAGAGGTTTAAGTTTTTTTTATTGTGTGGCCTGAAGCAATGAACGAAAACCCTAAAATGGCCCGTAATAGTATAGTTCTTTACTAGCCCTCAGTTATTCCTTTTCTTTTCTACTAAACCAACACGTAAGATTAAATACAAAAGTCAAGTGTATTTTACTCCTATGATAAGTTTTAATTTAAAACTAAATTTGTTTCTAAATTTTTAATACAAGAGTCATATTTTGTCTTTAATGCAAATTAAAAATATTTTTGTTATACATAAGTAAATAAAATTACAAAAAATTTCATATTGTTTAAATTTATTTTAATTTTAGAAGCATGAAGTGAAAAATTATAATTTACAATAAAATAATACAAAAAAACAACATGCTAAGAAAATAAAATACTGTAAAATAATCAAGGTATTAACCAATCAAAATGGATTATTACATTTTATCATTGTTAAACAATTTTAATTTCCTTTCTTTTAAGGTTAATTTGAAGTGTAACAATAACTGCAATTCAGTTTAATAGGTGTGCATTGTTACAGTTTTCAAAAATTGTAAAGAAAAATGGTGTTAATGTTATAATTTATTGCAAAATATTGTTAAAAAGCGGTGTGAAAATATTGGAACCTTAAAAAGAATTATATTGAAATTACTTCTGGTTGCGTTTCTTCAATGAAATTTTTTATACCCTGCACTTCGTGAAGGGTATATTAACTTTGGTATGGAGTTTGTAACTACTTGAAGGAGTCATCTGCGGTATGGACATATATATATATTCTTGCTCAGCGTAAAATTCTGCGTCGATTAAGACATGTCCGTCCGTCCGTCCGTCCGTCCGTCCGTCCGTCCGTCCGTCCGTCCGTCCGTCCGTCCGATCGCACGATAACTCAAAAACGAATAATGCAATCGACACCAAACTTTCACAAGTTTTTTCTTTTGTGCCAAGGACGAACCCTATTGTTATTGGACTAAGTCGGACAACGGGTTCGGGTAGCTGCCATACAACTCCAAGAGTTTATTTTAAATATTTCAAAAACTAATAAAGCTATAAATATAAAATTTTGTATACATGTGTCCGAATATATTCTACACATGCTCTAAAAATTATGATGGGATAGCTGCACCGGTTCGGGTGGCTGCCATACAACTCCAACAGCAAATTTTTTATATTCGGCAAAATAATAAAGTCAGATTCATGAAACTTGGCAGTCATGTGTCCAATTATAGGTCAAATATATT